GTGTGTGTGTGTGTGTGTGTGTGTGTGTGCGCGAACGCGCGCGCGCACGCGCCTGCAGAGGTCAGGAGAGGGTGTGGGAATCCCCTGAAGCTAGAGCGAAGTTTACCTTTCTGAACCTTGGTTTGTAAAGCCAGGAAGTTATTAGACATTTAAGTTTGATATATCAACACTTAGATTGAACCTGGCACAAGGGAGTCCACAATTGTCACTTGGCTGTGACTTAGGCTACTCAGCTCCTAGCTGGAGCAACCTGAAAGGGCCCAGTTACCTGGGGGCACTGGATGCAGGGAGTTACAGCCAACCTTTTGCCCTGGTGACATCTCACCATGCTGGAGTGATTTTGGCAGCCACCTTTATCTCTGGATATAATCCACAAAAGGATTCAAAGGTGGGCTATTGGGTGGATGCTGGGTATTTTTGAGCTTGAAGAGCAGCTGTGTGAAGCAGTCCGGGGTAGCAGTGAGTGAAAGGCGCATTGGAGATAGAAACTGCTAGCTGGAGGCCAGGAAGAGGCCATTGAGTATAAAGCGAATGGGTACTGAAAATGGAAAAATATTGGGGGGTCCTTGGCCCTGCCCCCTCTTCGGATGAGTTACTGTGAGTGTTGACGTGACTCAGGGGCTGCTGCCCCGTGCTCTGTGGAATGTGCCCAGCTTCCCTGTCACATGCAGGCACATGCACACGCGCACACTGCATGCACACATCCATTCTTAATCTCTGCTCTAATCTGGTCACCCACTTCTGCCAACCCGGGCAGTAATCACTTGGCAGTAATGTCCCCTCCCCCCTGGTTTGTCACATGAGAATAATTATAATCCCCAAGTCACCAAATTTTCGTGATAACACCCACAAAGCACTCATCCACTATAGTGTACCATGGACATAACCAGTGCTCAGTCACACACGATTTTTCCAGGCTTTGGCAGCTTGTGGAAGTCCTTGAACCACACACGACTTCAGCAAGGAACAAACACACTAGGCCCTGCAGACACCCTCCCAAGGGTCCCACCCATCCCAGGGCCCCTCCAGTCACCACAGTGAGGCTGATTAACAAAAACACATAAAATTCCTTTACTTCTGAGTCTCCCCTTGTAAGAGGAGACTGGAAATAAAGGAGATTTAATTTTTAAAAAATGGCATAATTAGTCAAATACTTCTCGGTTAGGCTCTCCCTTGTGCAGAAAGACCAATCCTGGCCAGCTAATAACCCCAGGGGACCCCAGGGTGGCACCGGGCATGGCTGGGGAAGGCTGGGTGCCAGAGGCTCCCTGGCCGGCCCTTCTGCAGCAGGGAGCCAGACGGGAAGATGGGCGGGGAACGTCACCACCTTAGGCAGTCCCTAAGGAACTTCCAGAGCTTGGTGACCCAGAGATTGGCTCCGAGGTCAGACAGGTACTGGATCTCGGGCGTGAGCATGCGCCGGCAGAGCTGCTCGTGATGCGGCCCGATGCTCTTCTTGAGGTTGTAACCCAGGATGGACTTGACGCCCAGGGGCTGCCAGGGCTGCATGGCCGAGTCCTGGATGGCCTCGGCGTCCACTGCTTGGCCGCCATCGATGCAGATGCGGCGCATGCGCTCGTTGGCTTGGCGCAGCTCGGCCACCTCGCGCACCATGCGCTCGCGCCCGAAGGCCTCCACCTTTCGCCAGAAGCTGGCGTTGAAGTGGTGGTAGAGGCGCGCGTCCAGCAGGTTCCAGGCGGTGGCACGGCGGTACAGCTCACCCGAGAGCCGCGGCACCGGCGAGTCGCGCCGCGCGTTGAGCTTGAAGTACAGCACGTCCTCCAGGTCCCAGCACAGCAGCTCCCGGAGCAGCACCAGGGACTCGTCGAAGTACTCCTGCAGCAGCACCAGGTGGAAGCGGCGCTCCACCTCCAGGATGTGCTCCTGCACGCGCGGGCTGCCCGGGTCCAGGCCGCTGTCGTAGCCCAGGTCGAAGAAGAGTAGGTTGCGGAGGTAGTGCGCGTTGTAGCCACTCGGGTCGTAGTAGCGATCAGGGTCCTGCAGGAACTCTGCCAGCTTGTCGCGGCTCGACAGCTTCCAGGTGAGCGGCACCACAGACCCAAAATAATGGAAGGAGGACTCGAAGAGACGCGCCGGGTCGCGGATGACCGTGATGAAGGCGGCGCCCGGCCGCACCAGCCCGCGCACCTCTTCGTAGTGGAAGCGCATGTGGTTGCAGATGATGTTGAAGCACGCCCCCGGCCGGTAGTCCTGCACCAGGCTGCGTGCGAAGAAGGACGGGTAGTGGAAGTCGTTGCGGCCATTGGGGAAGGCGAACTTGAGCCCATGCTTCTGGCCGAAGCGGAAGAGGATGTTGAGCAGCGTGCTGCTGGCGGTCTTGTGCGTCTTCATGAACACGATGTCTCGCCGAGGTTGGCACCCTCCGGCAGAGCCGTTGACCGGAGTGGCCGTCCCTGGCTCACTGGGAGCAGGGGAGCAGGGCGCTGCGGTCTCTGAGGTCCTGGGGGAGACAGAGGGATGGAGAGAGGTCAGGGGATTGCAGGCGACAGTACCATCAGAGAGGCTTCGAGGGACTTGATCTCACCGGCCTGGCAGCCACGACCCACTAATGCAGCCCTGCAGGTTTGGACCCATTGCTTTGTGGGTGCTAGACAAGCACTCTGCCAACTGAGATGAAATTTCCCCTGCCTGAAATTGCAAGGGTTTTTATTTGTCTATGTGTTTTTCTTTGGGGGGGGGGCGGTTAATCAGCTATTGGCAATACTTTTCAGATTACCTTAATATCACTAACTGTGGCACAGGCTGCCCCAGATGTGTGCTGAGCAGTCTCATGAGGAGAGGAGATAGTCTGGTCGCTTAGGAAGAGGGACACAGTCACATAGGCCCAAGTTTGAAAAGCTTGAATCCGGGCCCTGTGCCGGGCGAGTGTTTTGGGACAAATCACACTCCATCTCTATCCTGGCCCCTACTGTGGCCCTGTTGGAGCCTCAGATTATAATTCAGGCACTGGACACCGTGACAAGTGACACTCCTTCACTGAGGCGCACACCGCGCCCTGGGTGGCACCGAGAGTTCTGCCGGAATGCCTGCCCCACACAGCACGGTGCCCGTGCACAGGGTCGCTGTCTAGCAGAAGGCTTCGATCACAGACCGTGAAGATGCCCTGCCCTCCCCGCTCCCACGGTTTGGCGTCACTCACGTGAAGGCCATGTTGGGGTGCAGCGGGGGTGCCACGTAGGAGTAGAGCAGCAACAGGAAGCTGGTACAGAGGGCTCCCAGCACCAGCCCCTTGGCCTGGGACTCCCAGGGCTTCTTGGGCAGCAGAGGCATCTCAGGCAACCGCTAGGGACAAGGGCAGACAGAACACAGGTCAAGAGGCTGGTCAAGAGCCTCCGCGGCAGCCAGGGCTCTCCACCGGGAACTCCCTGGCAGGATCCTGACAGGGTCAGAGCCTTAGAGAGGAAGAAGACAGCGGACTCAGCTCAAGGGGAGGAGGCCAAACGGGCAGAGAGGAGGCCCTCCCGGCACGGCTCTAACTTTTAGCTGACTAGTAGGGACACGGGTGTGATGCCCTTCTTCATAGGCTGCTTGGGTTTTATAATGAATGCATTCTGAGGACAAAAGGAGAGGATTCCTCTTGTCCTGTGCCCCCGGGCCCTGCTCACAGGGAAGACTAGCATCTTGTCTGTTTCAGAAGGTAGGGCCAGCCTTCCCTGTCCCCTGTGCCACCCTCCCTGCTGGATTTTTTAAAAAAAAAGATATTTAGTTTATAGGTATGTTCCAAATACTGCATGAAATGTACTGGGCGGTGGTGCCATGAGCTTTTAACCCCAGCCCTTAGGAGGGAGAGGCAGGTGGATCTCGGAGTTTGAGGCCAGTCTGGTGCTGACTCACTTTAACAGGGTGCCTTGCTGAGCTTCTGTGGTGGGATTTGTTTGTCTGGGGGGCCTTATCCACAGGAGACAGAGATGTGAGTGGTAGTAGGTGAGGTCCAAGCTTCAGAACTGGAACCCAGGAGAGAGTTGAGGCTGGCGGTCAGGGGACTTTCCTACCTCCCTGTAGGTGTAAAGCCAAGGTCTGAAACTTTCCACTTCTCTCCCAGCGGATGCTCCCAAGCCCCCGAGGCTTTGGGAGGTCATACACCTGCCCTGTGACCACATGCGTGGTGTGCTACTGAGTGCATCTGGAGGCCGCAGGGCCAGGTAGCCTCCACAGGAAAGTTACCTACCGTGCCCATGACCGCTTGCCTAGAGGAGCCCTCCAGGCCCTCCTCCAGAAAAGATGGCAGCCTTACTAAGCCCGTGGCTCATCACCTAGGAAGTCTGCCTCACAGAAAAGGATGGCATGAAGCAATGGTCAGAGAAGGAAAGTACTCAGGAGGGACTTTTTCCTCCCCGTGACAGAGAGACGCATCGCTCATTCTGTAAGGCTGGGTAAAGGCTGGGGAGAGTGTTTCCAGAGGGCAGTGATGTCAAATGAGGCTCACTGGCTGGTCACTACAGACAAGTGTATAAAGTGTGCAAAGTCGTGTGTGCCTATGGCAACTTTACTAGAGAGAGAGAGAGAGAGAGAGAACTTCAGTGAGTATCAGCAAGGGATAAAAGGGACATCATATATACAAGACCCACTCTCAGAAGTCATCTATAGATGAGGAGAGAGAGAGAAAGAGAGAGAGAGAGAGAGAGAGAGAGAGAGAGAGAGAGAGAGAGAGAGATATGAGCCAACCTGAAAACACAGCACGATCTAGTTGCTTGTTAACATGCTCGAGGCCTGGGTCAATTCCCCAGCAATGAAAAAGAAAAAGCAAGCAAAGCCTGGCATCTGGGAGACCAGGCCAGCCTTAGCTACATGTCCAGTTTGAGACCAACCTGAACTACATAAGGTCCTGTCTCAACACATCAACAGAAGGCTGGAGAGATGGCCCAGCCAGTAACGGCTAGCTCACAATTGAAAACATGAGCATACTTGCTGGGCTGGAGTTCAGTTCCTAGCACTCATGTTGGGTGATTCACAACTGTCTGTAACTCCAGCTTCCAGGGGATCTGATGTCCCCTTCTAGACACCATGGGAGTACACACACACACACACACACACACACACACACACACACACACTTTAGAATAAATAAATCTTAGCCGGATAAGGGCTGCACATGTTTAATCCCAGCACTTGGGAGGCAGAGTCAGGAAGATCTCTGTGAGTTCAAGGCCAGCCTGGCCTACAGAGTGAGATCCAGGCCAGCCAGGGCTATATAGTGAGACCCTGCTTCAAAAACAAAACAAAACAACCTAGAAAATTAATTCTAGAGTGACAAGCACTCCTCCTCCTAATACACACACACACACACACACACACACACACACACTTAGGTGAATATATATGAAAGCCTGGATAAAAGCAAAATGCTACTGAAGGGCAGTGGAGAATGCGCATACTTTAGTAAAAATGCTTAGAACCAGTGATGCTTCTGATTTTGTACTTTTACTTTGGAATATTTCCATGTGCACAAAGAGATATCTCAGCGGGGCTGGGGAGATATCACAGCCGGCAAAATGCTTGCTAATCAAGCATGAAGATGAGTTCAGTTTTCCTAACATCCACACTAAAAAACAAAAGACAGATCAACGTACGCTTGTCACCCTACTACTGGGGAGACGGAGGCAGGAGGACCCTGGAGCTCTCAGTGAAAAGGTTTAGTGAGAGACCTCGCCTCAGAAAGTTTGGTGGATGAAGTTGGCTGCGGAGGTGGCGCACGCCTTTAATCCCAGAACTCGGGAGGCAGAGGCAGGTAGATCTCTGAGTTCGAGGCCAGCCTGGTCTACAGAGTGAGTTCCAGGACAGCCAGGGATCCACAGAGAAACCCTGTCTTGAAAAACCAAACAAAAACATGTAAGGTGGAGTACGATCAAGGAAGAGACTTCATGTTGACCTCTGAACTCCACAAGCATGTGCATACATATGCTCATGCATATACTCACATGAACATGTGTATACACATATGAGATATCTTGGTAACAGCCAAAAACTAAGCATGAAATTCACTTGTTATATGTCTAAAATGCATCGCCAGAAAGGATTTTATACGGTATTTGCAATGCACCTGTGTTTTGATTGTGACTTTATCACATGAGGTCAGATGTGGAATTTTGAATATCTTGATATTCGAAAAGTTTCAGATTTTTAGACCATCTTCAATTTTAGATTTTAGATTTTTGGGTTAAGGATAGCCAACCTGTGTTCTACATTTCCACAGTCTAATCATCTGACCTATCTGGGGAGAAGTATAGAACTATTTCTCTAAATTACTCATTTTCACAACGGTTGCATTTTGAAAGGGTCACACATTCTATTTACTAGGAAAAGGGACAATACACAGCCTCTGCATCAGGTTTGAGGTTTTTGTTCCCTCCCCCCCCCCCAGCAGTGCTGGGATTAACCTAGGGTCTCCAGCATTCTGGAGTCTCCAGAACTCTACCACTGAGCTCTGCACCCGCTCACACTTTAAAGTTTACGAAGTGCAAACCAGATGTGGTGACACACAACTGTAATCCAGGGGAAAGCTGAGGGTCAAGATTTCAGGCCAGCCTGGGCTACATTGTAAGACAGAGCCTCAAACACAAACTAAACAAAAACCCAGTCAGAGGGGAAGGTGTGGACCTCAACCTCCTCTTTGTTTATTTATTTAGAGACAGGACCTCACTATGTAGTTCTGGCTCTCCTGAAACTCACTATGTAGACCAGGCTGGTCTCGAAGTCACTGAGATCTGCCTGCCTCTGCCTCTCGAGTGCTGGGGCTAAAGGTGTGCGCCCCCATTGCCCAGCAGGATCCCAGCATCTGGATCCCTCAGGGCTGGGCTTTGACACTGACTTCTGACAAGCGGGGGAATCCCCTCGGAATCTGTTTCTCGTCTATAAATTGGAAAGAAGCTGAGGAGGGGAGTCTGGCTGGGCCCTGGGGAGCCTCCTGAGCGGTCGGTACACCGGTATCACTCAGAATGGTGCGGGTCTGGGGAAGCCGCCCACCAACCACAAATCCGCTCCGTGGTTTGTGGTGCTCAGTGATGCCGAGCAGGCCCCCCAGAAAACCAGCTCACAGACCAAGGCTCGGGCCCAGAACAGTGAGCACAGGGGCTTAGTTTCTCTGGCCTTAGAGGGATCGAGAGTCTTGTAGCTGGCACTCGGTAAAACCTGAGGGTCCACCCGGCCCCGGCAGCGGCACTCACCAGGGTACTCTCCGAAAGTCCGAGAAGCCGCAGTGGCGGAGGTCTCCAGTGGCGGACTGGCGGTAGGGGGCAGACCAGCATCCTAAGCTGCCAATCAGGGCCTTTCTGGCCCGTCCAAGACAGCATCTTCCCCCACCCGCGAAACATCACCGATTCATTCTCTCATTCTCCTGTTTGGGTTTTCCCAAACCTCACCAGGTCCCTGGGTGTACTGAGCCCTGATGGGGCCACTAGAATCTCTGCTAGCAACTGACTGACTCTCCTCAGTGGGTACCGCTGTGTTGTACCATTACCCCATTTTGTAGATGGGGAGAATGAGGCTCGAAGAGGTAACGTGGCTTGCTCAGGGTCACTCAGCGGGTAAAAGCAGGGCAGGATTTTGAGCCCGTGACTCTGGATCTCCCACAGGCAGCTTCCTGCTTCGTGTATAGCAGCTGCTGTCTGCGGATAGTATCTGAAGCCTCGGGGAAGGAAGTCACAGGAGTGCGAAGAAGTCAAGTCAGAGCCTGGGGCTCTGTCTTGGGAACGTAGGATTGTCCCACACTGGTGGGCAGAGCTGACAGTCAATATGAAGGGATGGGGGGTAGAAGACCCTGGTGGCTGGTTCTCCTGCGCCAGCCTCCTCAAGTATTCAAGGCTCCTCACCCCCTTGCTGTGAATTTAGCAAAGAAACTCCCCTCTTGCAGATGGTGGATACACAGTAGCGAAGTCAGGGAAAGCAGCGGTCTCTGAGGAAACTGAGGGAAGCCAGGGGCTGGCTAGACCCGGAGTCTGGCTTGACGGAGAACAACCCCAAAGCTACCGGGTTCCAATGCCAGGTGATCAATCCGAGTATTAATTATTAATAGCAATGCTGATTACCCATTGTCATCACTGTTGACCAGGGCCCAGCTCTGCCTCACCCTCACCGGAGAGGTGCCCCACCCTCCATGGTCAGCTGCAGGTGATTCATCCCAGAGATGCTTGAGCCTAGCACTTGGTGAATGTTTGTTTGCTAAATGACACCCCATGCATGGCTGGGCATCTGGGGGCAGGGGATGGATAAGACCCTTGGTCAGGCAGCTACCACCTCAGTGTCAGCCACACAGGGAGATAGCGCGTGGGTAAGACAGACATTCTGTGAGGGTCATACATGACGTGCATGTCAAAGGCCCCATGAACGTTTGCTTAGCTGTATAGATCTGTGGTAAAGAGTTTGCTTAGCACGCACAAGCCCCTGGGTTCTGTCTCCAGCACCAAGAATGGTGATGATGAAGATGACGATAATGATAATGACATATATATATTTCCTTGACTGGGTGAGGCCTATGATCCAAACTGAGGATTTTGAGTTGGAGGCCAGAGAGAGTGGGCTACAGATTAAGACCTTGTCTCAAAGAGCCAAATAAATAAACTTCCTGTACCCTACCATGGGTGAGCCACATGCGGAAATTATATGAGAGAATCATGCATGTGCAAGGACATGCCTGTGAGAGCCACACGAGAGAGCCAGAAAGAGCCAGCACCTGGGCTGGGATCTGGTTTTAAGGCGCAACTCTGGAGCCAGGTGTGGTGGTACCTGTAATACCAACAACTGGGGAGGCAGAGGCAGGAGGAGGGTGGGTTGGGGGACAGACTGGGCTATACAGAGAGACCCTGTTTCAAGAAATTAAATACAAGGCCAGCGAGATGGCTCAGCAGGTAAAGGTGCTTGCCACCAAGACTGACAACCTAGGTTCGATCCCCAGGTCCCAGAAGTCATCCTCTGACCTCCAGACCCTCACCTCTTCCCCGTACTAACTAACTAAATATAATTTTTAAGTGTTAAGACACACACACTCATATGCATGCTCTTGATTAGGCTGTTTCCTTCTCTGGGTCTTAATTTTTCCTCCAGAACAACACCAGTGTTCTGTCATCATTTGGTCTGACTGTCTCAGATGGAACGTGCAGCCACAGGGCTGGCACAGGACAGACATCTGCTGAGCTGATAGCTCTTATGACCCTCTTAGGGTCCTAGCCTGGCCCCGTCCAATTGTGTACCCACTAGCCCAAAACAGAGTCTTATAGATAACCAACGGCCCGCGAACTCAGTTTCCAGAGAAGCAGGGAGGTCAAACCTCAGAGAAGGCAAGAATATCCTCAAGGTCACACAGCACAGGGGATGCCAGAGGCAAGAGCAGAAGCTGGGCTCCCTACCTCCTCTGCCCATGGTGGTGACAGACCCAGGACAGGGACAGATGGCTTCCTCGTCATTTCCCTCATCCATCCCTGTTCTCGTGGGTTACCCCAGCTGCATCTGCCCCAGAACTGGTAGCAAGCAGCCCCAACATCCTCTAGTTCAGCTAGGACCCTGCAGGACAGAAGGAGAAGCAGGACCCACCCACGACAACCTGCACACCGTGAAACTTGCCCAAGATGGTAGAGATCCCTGCGAGTGTTGCACAGACCCCCTGCTCTCCGTGCTGGGGCAGAGGGGACACACTCACCTTGGGCTGTGACTAGCTGCCCCTTTCCTCTCCCAACACCCAGGCTGCCTCTGCAGTCAGAGACAAGAATGCTCCAATGATACCCAGCAGGCGGCTGGTTGGCTCCTTCCATCCCCCTCCAGTGCATATGAATATTTATGAGCTCCCTCCCTGGGGATAATGAATGGAATGCTCAGGTGGTGCCCTGGTCTTCTTGCCGTCCTCCAGCTGGACAGCTCGGGGGTGATCCCCGCCCCTCTCTAGACCCCAACAGCCAGGTAGCTCATTTACCCAAGGGCTCAGCAAAGTTCTATGTGCCCTTGGGCCAAGGGCACACAGCTTGAAGGCTGGGGCGGGCGGGGGGGGGGGGGGGGGGGAGGTGAACTGATCCACCTATGAGAGCAGCTCATTCAAGCTTCCTGGCTACTCTGTGGACCAAGTACCCTCCTCAGGCCCATCACAAAAAAGAAAGTGAGGCAGAGCAGGGAAGAACAAAGTCACGAGCCAAATGCATGCCTGCCGGGAGCTCAGACCTGAAGATGCCAAGACAGAGCAGGCACTGAACTTGATCAGCCTCTACAGGAGCCCCAGGGTGACAGCTAACAGGCTGAGAAGTCCAGAGGAAGGAAGCGTGGCATCTCGGAGGAGCACGGAGTCCTTCATCAAAGGGTGTATGCCATGCTCGGCAGCCTGCCTGAGCAAGGAATAGACTCACACACACAGCTTGGAGCCGTTTTGCAGGTTTGGGGTTTGCCGGAGATGCTGTCCGAGTCCTTTCGGGGGGTGGGGTGGGGGGGATGGGAGGTGGGGAACAGTACCTAGGCTCCCTGCTCCTAGCCTGAAACTCACACTGAGTCAACACAGCCATCTCAGGTTCAGCTCAGCTTCCTCTGAGCTTTGTTCTTCATCAGAGGGACTCCATGAGTCCATTCCTCCCTTGATGTCCACACTCTCGTGGTGGCCCAAGGAGAAGGCTCTAAAGACACAACGGATCGCCGGGCGGTGGTGGCGCACGCCTTTAATCCCAGCACTCGGGAGGCAGAGGCAGGTGGATCTTTGTGAGTTCGAGGCCAGCCTGGGCTACCAAGTGAGTTCCAGGAAAGGCGCAAAGTTACACAGAGAAACCCTGTCTCGAAAAACCAAAAAAAATAAAAAAATAAAAAAATAAAAAAATAAAAAAAAAAATAAAAAAAAAAAAGACACAACGGATCACAGTTAATAAGAGTGCAAAGCTGGGCTGGTCAAGGTCATCCTCTGCCACCCTCCTGTCTACAGAGGCTGTCCATCTTAAGTTCCTCCCTGGGTTTTTAAGGAGAAGCCCCTCTCCCTTTGGGGCTCTGCTGTTTCTGGTATGCTTTGTTCTGTTCCTTTTCCAATGCTCTCCCACTTCCAAGCCCAGTCTCCAGACTCTTTCCCCTAATAACGAGTCCCTAAAGGGCACTTGTGTGTCGGCTCTTTTCACAGACCACTCCTGACGGGCCACACAGAGCCAGGCTGGGAGGTGGTTCTCTTTTCTTTCTAACGTCCCTCGGCGTTTCTGCCTCCTGGGCTGACCTAGTTTGAGGACAGCTTTATGGCGTGGCTCAAACAGCAGGAATGTGATTTATGGAAGTGGACTCTGGACTGCCTAAATGGACACACCCTCACACTCCTGGTAGGGACTTCCTGCTGTCCCTTCTCCCACAGGGTAGGGGCAGGGTGGAGTTCAGGCATCCTAGAAAGATGGAAGAGGGTGGTGGGTTTAGTGGAGATGGAAACGAAGCAAAACTAGAACTGGACCTTCAGCCCTGTGCAAGGCTTGGAGATGTCTTCCTGGGGCTTGGTTTCCTCATATTTCACCTGGTTCTCCCGGCTGATAGTATCCATTGTTTTCTCTCTCTCTCTCTCTCTCTCTCTCTCTCTCTCTCTCTCTCTCTCTCTCTTTCTCTCTCCCTATATATATAATGTGTTCACACACATATATTTAAATGATGAAAGTAGTATAGGTTCGCAATTATTTCATTTTGTTATTTATTTATTTATTTATTTATTTATTTATTTATTTATTTATTTTTGAGACAGGGCTTTCTATGTAGCTCTAGCTGGCCTGGAACTCACTATGTAGACCAGGCTGGCCTCAAAATCATAGAAATCCACTTGCCTCTGCCTCCCAAACTCTGGGATTAAAGGTGTGAACTACAATTAAAAAATAATAATGCTCTGATCCAGTAGGGGAAGAGGTTGGGAGGGGGTGACCTCAGGAGGTATTCCAATTTCCAAAGATAGCTTTCTTTTCTCCATGGTCACACAGACTGTAGTTCTCATCTTCCCTTGCAGTTGAGGGAGACCCATGTGACTGAATCAGAGTCAGTGAAATATGAGTATAATGACAGCAAATGAAGTTAAGGGGCTGGTCTTTGTGGTTTCTTTCCTGAGGTTCACAGACCCTGAACAAGCTACCTTTTCTTTTGCGGGTGTGTGGGGGGGCGGTCTTTGACAGGGTCTCACTGTGTAGCTCTTGCTGGTCTAGAATTCACTATACAGACCAAGCTGGCCTCAAACTCATAGAGATCATATGTCTCTGCCTCCCACTGGAACTAAAGCCACCAAATCACAGCTTGTTAGTTTCTATTGTCAAATTGACACAAACCTAAACACACCTGGGAAGAGGGACCCCTCGATTGAAGACTTGTCTCCACCTGACTGATCTGCGGTCATATCTGGGGGGGGGGGGCACATTTTCTTGATTGCTAATTGATGTAAGAGGGTCCAGCCCAGCGTGGGAAATACCATGCCTAAGTGGGTGGGCCTGGGAAGGTTGCTGGACTTGAGTGAGAATGAGCCGCTGAGCAGTGTTCTCTGTTTCCTGCCTTGAGCTCCTGCCTCAGCTTCCCCAGCAACAGACTGTAACCGGTAAGCTAAAGCAAACCCTGTCCTCCACACATTGCTTTTGGTCATGGTGTTTATCACAGCAGCAGAAACCTAACTGGAACAGAATCGGAGCAGGAAAACAGAGGTGTTGCTATGACAGACCTGATCATGTCATGTCATTTGGGGGCGGGGAGGGGGGGAGCGGCACGGGGATTGTGAAAGTGTTTGGAACTTTGAGCTGGAAAAGGCATGGAGTGCTCAGAGATTGACTTCCAGGTTTGTGGGAAATCGGAAGATAAGATAATGCTAAGAGACATGGAGGCCATGGAGGCCTGGCATTCTTGCAATATTTAGATTAACACTCTGGAAGTGAAGCCTTTGCTTTGCTGGGACAGTTGATGCTTTTTTTTTTTTTTTTTTTTTTTTTTTTTTTTTTTTGGTTTTTTTCAAGACAGGGTTTCTCTGTGTAGCTTTGCGCCTTTCCTGGAGCTCACTTGGTAGCCCAGGCTGGCCTCGAACTCACAAAGATCCGCCTGGCTCTGCCTCCCGAGTGCTGGGATTAAAGGCGTGCGCCACCACGCCCGGCTCAGTTGATGCTTTTTAACCAGGGCTGAGAAATCAGGGGTGATTAAGAAGGGATCAGCAGCACTGAGGCAAAAATCTTCTGAGAAGTATCTCCTCAGGGTCAGCACATAGTCACTGTGGTCCAGGGAGACCAATACTGCACCTCAAGCTGATAGAAAATTATCTGTTGGGTATTTTTACCACATAAGAGGGCTCAGCCCACTGTGGGCAGTACCATCCCTGGGCAGAAAGCAAACCAGAATAGAGCCTTTATGTCCATTTCACAGACAAAGAAACTGAGGCCCAGAAGTTAAAAGAGCTAGCTTAGTACACACTGTAAAGAATGAATGTATTCATAAGGGCAAAACTGTACATTTGTACTTAGGTTAAAGGGTCTGAGATGATACCAAATGTAAAGTGTACTTCCCCAAGGAATGGGGTCACTTACCATCAATAACACATTTTGATTCGGTAGATATAATGCAACTATATATGCATTTACATTTTACCCGAGTCTGTATTGCTTTGGGAAAATAGTAAAAATGTATATGTAATGGGCCAGTAAAATGGCTCAGCAGGCAAATGTGCTTGTACCCGAGTTTGATCCCCAGCACCCACACGGTGGAGAGCCAATTCCTGGAAGTTGTCCTCTGACTTACATAACACACACACACACACACACACACACACACACACACACACACACACACACACCAAAAATAGGTTTATTGCCATCGTAGGAATCAGGCCACACCTCATTTCTGAAGCAGGCATCCTGCTCTTTCCAAACCTTAGTGGCCTGAACCGAAAGGCCTAGCCAAGGGCAGAAGAGAGCTGGGAAGTGTGGGGCACACAGTAGACAGTCTGATTGAGAGGTTAGACCTGGGCCTGCAAGGATCCAGCAGCTCCTTCACTTCGAGGCTCTCTGGAGTGGAGCAGAGAGAGCAGAGATGGGGCGTATCAGCCAGCAGGGCATTTTGTCTGGACTCCAATTTGCTGGCTCACAGGACCCCTCCAAGCTGGCAGCCCTGGCATCTTGCCAGCCTTACTCTTCCTTTGCTGGAGTTACAATGCCAATGGTTCTAGGCCTGGCCGCTGACATGGGGTGGTCTTTCACGGTTCCGATGCAGTTCCTCTTTGTTTGCTTGGTTTTCCAAACACGATTTCTCTGTATAGCCCTGGCTGTCCTGGAACTCACTCTGTAGACCAGGCTGGCCTTGAACTCACAGAGATCCGCCTCCCTCTGCCTCCCAAGTGCTGGGATTAAAGGTGTGCACCACCGCTGCCCAGCGTCAGATACAGTTCTTAATGTTACAATGTCACCTGCACCTTCTTTCCTTCCTCCTTTTCCCTCAGGTTTTTTTTCTGCACGTGTGCATGCGAGTGCATGTGTGTGTGTGTGTGTGTGTGTGTGTGTGTGTGTGTGTGTGTGTCTGGTCCGGTCTCACTGTGTTAACCAGTTCACTATGTTTCTAACTGATTTCAAACTGGTTATCCTCATGCCTCAGTTTCCCAGTGCTAGGAATATAGGCCTGTGCCACCATGCTAGCAACCTATTGGGTCAAAGGGCAAACACACAATCACAACACACACACACACACACAACACAACCTCTCAGTATTACATGCTAGCCCCACGTATCAGGTGGAGAAAGGGGCCCAGTATCCATGGCAAAGCCAGAACTTGAAACACATTCACAGCTCTTTCTGAGACACTCCCCTGCCCATGCAAAATCACCACCCTTCCTGTACCCAAGCAGATCCAAGTACCCAAAGCAGCTCTAGTGGGAGGTGACAAGTCACAGATGTCAGCCAAAAGTCAAGCCACTCCCTTAGTCCTCTAAATACATAGAGTCCCCAGGGCTGAACACGGAGGAGTCATCAATAAATATCAGTGCTTTATAACATTCCTGCCATACTATTTACAGTCTGAAGATGCACTTGTGTGCATAAACACACAGCACGGTAGAAAAGCTTTATGTTTTATGGAGGCATAAATGCCCAGGATAAGCACATCCACTGCTCCACTCCTGCGCTCAGGATGCCCTCAGTACAGCCTGCCTCCAGACTTCCCCAGCAGGGTGGTCTTTGGAAAGAGGCTCTCTCTTGCTGGGAAGATCAAAAAGTATGAGGCATGCAGAGTCCTTGGCTCAGTGTCTGGCACTTAGCAGTAGATCTGGTTAGGATCATGGGCCCCTTAGATCCTTCTAGATCAATGTACATGCCACCCTACCCTTCCAATGACCTATGTTTCCCATGTTTTATACCCAACTTGCCTCAACACTCACATTCCACGACCAACAAAATTAAGGCAGACAGGGAGGGCTTGTCCAGTGTCATAGAAAGCCAGGGTACTGCTGTGGGCCTCATTTCTCTGCTCTGGAGATGGCTTATGGGAAGGCAGGTAACTCCTGGAAAATTCTATTAGCTCCCCCACCTGATGATTCCAGAGGTCTCCAATCTGGTGACCCCCGGGGTCACTTCTGCTCCATCCTGCCTCGTCCTCTCTTGAGTCATTCATATTTCTCATGGAGTCAAAGTAAAGCAGGAAGTTTGTCGTGCCGGGCAATGGCGGGGCATGCCTTTAATCCCAGCACTTGGGAGGCAGAGGTTTTTCAAGACCAGCCTGGACTACAGAGCAAGTTTCAGAACTGCCAGGGCTACACAGAGAGAACCTATCCCCCCTACCCCCCCCCCAAAAAAAAAAACACAAAACAACCAAACAAAAACAAACAGCACAGCTCACAGTCAGGGACCAGAGTCCCACCATTTGTGGGCCATTCTCCCAGGTGAATCACTGCCCTCCTGCACAGGACAGCTTCCTGTGTGCCTTGGAGCTCAGGGAGAGGCACTGTGGGAGACAGACCTATCCTTTGCTGGATGACAAGTGGCCTCAGAACCCAGTAAGGGCAAGAGATGCCCAGGAAGTAGGCACTCCGTGTCCACAGGGAACTTCCTTTAGGCAGAGCTATTCCCAAGCAAGAAGCAGACTACAAAGCAGCCTGAGGGGCCAGCTAGGAGCACAGCTCTGCTGTCTCTATGCCTGAGGTAACAGCCTGCTCACCAGTGCCGGGCAAAGGGGAGGCTTGATGGAGCCCAAGAAGATCAAAGAAGTGGGACCCCGAGTGGGCAGAGGAGTCCTGCGTCGGTCTGGGGTCCTAAAATGGTGACCACAAAAAATTCCTGTGACTTGGAGTGAACTTCTGAACGGTGTGACCTTCAGGCAGTCACTGAGTCTCCCCACGCAACCGACTAGTGGGGTTCTGGAATTCCACATCCCTCTAGATAAGTAGCAACGGTGCCTTGTAGGGCGGTGCAGAGAAGGTTAGGGTGACTGTGCGCTGCCTGCAGGACCCCCTGGACCTGAGGCCACTCCCTCCAAAGAGGAAGAGGCTGAGTTCTTCTGACTGGATGGCTCTCCCTCCATACCTCTTTCTTCTAGCAGATTTCCATTGCGCCCTCACCATCACCACAGTAACCTCAGGTGTCAGATGTCAGGCCTGCTGCCCTTCCTAGTGTGGGTTGCTGCCGCCAGATGTGTGCCTGTCACCAGAGACAGCTCGAGAAGGAGGAGGGGCAGGGGTTCCACTGGGGAGGGACGGTCATGCTCTGTGCTGGCCTTTCACTAAGGGAGCAGAGCAACCTTGCGGAACCCTTTATGGAGCAGCGGCCCAGGACTCCGGAACTGTGAATTGCACATAGGATCTTTCCTGTCCTATCTGGAGAGTCCCTCCTTGAGGGCCTCATCTCCTCAGGGGCACGTGTCCTTCCTCAAGCACAAGAGTCTGTCACTACCCACGGCCCCCAGTCTCTGCTTTGACAGCCGCTCCAGGGAAAGGCAGGTAAGGGGAGATTCTCTACCCCTCCTTTTCCACTAGGGCCCAGGCCACGGTGTCCAAGAGGATTAATCATTGATGGACTCACAGTTTCAGCAGAGTGCAGCAGCCAGCCTTCTCAAGCCCCACCCATCCCACTTTCAGGACTCCGGGGTCCGGAGGAGGAGGGGCACCCAGAGCGGGGTGAGTAACCGGTTAGCCTGCGCCTACAGGACACAGTGCCGGTGAAGCAGCTCTGCAGCGCTCCTATACCCCTCGCTGGGCGAGCATGCGATCCCAGTTTGGCTACAGTGTAGGAGGGGTGCTCAGGTAGTAGACTGAGGCAGGGCACAGCCAGCGTCGAGTGCTGAACCTCCCGACATACCTTAGCCCGGTTCTCCTTGGGCTCGGGGTGGCAGGGGTCGCCCCGGCCCCC